ATATCATCTTGGAGATACAGCAGAGCCTGATGAGAAAGCCAGGATGTGAGTTGGCTAAATTTTGGTGGGTCTTCATTAGTAGATTGCTTTTTGTTGTCGTTCAGACGTTCGTCTTCTTCAAAAATCCAGTTGTAAGTTTTCATTCTAAAGTTGCAATAACATTTATTTTTTTATTAATTTTGCTGTTGCTACACTGACGTTTTATTTTATTGAAGCTTTAAAAGTTAAATTTAAAAATTTTTTTTCTCGCAAAACCTTAATTAAACAGAAAAAATGTTGGCCCTTTCAAAATGAAATTGTTCAGTCTTCCTTTGCTACATATAAGTTAAATGGATAGATTGTCTTATGCCAGTGGTTTTCAAACTATGGGTAACGACCTTGTTTGGAGTTTAATGATTATTGGCAAGAAGGGGTCGCCTACAAATCTTGGAGAATATGTTTTATGTTTTTTTCATAATGTGTAACCGTACAATTTTTCAATTTTTTTTAAAGTAAAATATAAGTGCCTGGAATAACTCAAAATATTTTCGTACGGAATTCGTACAGTAAACTTACAAAATTTTGGTGCCACTACACTATGGGTTATGATGAGAACCGCTGGTCTATACTGTCATGTAATATTATTATATTCAAGATGATCATTCGTCTGGCCTTCATAGCCGTTTGCATCAAATGTATTTTATTTTTATACCATTTTATAAATTTTATTTTATTAATTTGTATAATTTTTCTGAAATTTGCTAAAAAAGTAATAATTGATGCTATCCAGTTTCTTGTAATGAGGTTGTTATACTTCTTTGATTAATGCTTTGCAGTTTGTCGTGCGAAGATCTCAGAAAGTGTTTTTCCGATTTGGATTCATGCACTTAATTGCAACAAACTTCTGTGTTTGGACCCGGACTTTGATAAGCGAAATTATCTTAGAAGCAAATTATCTCAACAAAAACAATGCATCCAATACCAGCACACCAACATTTCTGCCGAAAACAAGCTACAGTATACAATTTTGTTATTATTTGTACATAATTTTAGATGCTGAATACTGATGAATTAATCTTATCAATGTTTAAATAAAAGATTAAAAATTGAAATACAAAAAAATTATAGGTTACAATAAAAACCTTTCGTAGATATTGACAGTTCCAGTGACGTAGTTGTACATAATATTTTTCAAAACCTGTTGATCAGATTGCTCCACAGGCATCCTGCAGATAGCGGCTCCATATCTTTTCCCGTTCGTCATGGAGTACAGTTTGTTGTGCATCAGTGTGGCGTTCGTCATGTACTTCAGCATCAGTGAGGAGTCGAGAGACAACATCGAGAAAGGAATAACCAATCTCTTCAAGGTATTTCTTCAAATATAACCAATCTTTTTAAAGTATGTCTTCAAGTCTAACAAATTTTATGAACTAAAAAGTTGAATTCAATAAATTTTTGGAGTTATCTGTTTTTTGTGGTAATGATTTATGATGAAGTTATGATGGAGTTGATATTTTAAAATTTTTCTCCAAGATCGATGTGTTTGAAAAAGATAGTTCCGAAGAAATTGAGAAAGATAAGTTGAAATCATCCAAATTGGATCATCGTCATCCACACGGCTTATCAGAATCGGAAGAACTGTTCAGCAAGTCACACCGAGGCATCTATACGGGATTCATGTTCTTGACTGGAATCATCGTCTGCATTGTTTTCTTCAATTTCTCGTACGGCAACTGGGACGACCCGGTTAGATTGCTTTGAACTTTCTTTTGTTACCTTAATCTTTAAACACTTGTTTTATTGGTATCAAGTGTTTTTTCACTTTAAATTATTTGAAACAGTTTCAATATTTAATAATATATCACAACATAACTTTTATTATTTATGGTATGTTAATGGTTCGTTCGAATGTTTTTTAGTAGAAGTTTCGATGTTTTCATCAATCAATTTAAAATAATTGTTTGAAAAATTGTGACAGTCAATTTTACTTCATGTTTTATTTTTAAATAAAATATGCTATGTTTCAGTTTTTTTTTACAAAAAAGTCTAATAAATTTGATTTATTTCAAAGATAAAAGGGGAAACGATCAGTCTGTCCTGTGCACTGTCCATGGCAATAATATTGTTATTAGTGGCGTTTTCCGCCTTAGTGCAAATGCGAGTGCTCTCAATCATCAACAAACCGAGTTCCATAGATGATTATTTGTTGATTATCGCCATGTTTGGTGGTCTGACGTACCTTCTCTGCATCATCATGTCGGGATTTAATGCCCTCAACAACGGAGTCTACAGAAGTTCAACTCTGGAAACGTTAAGGATTTGCATGGGATTTTGTAGCATGGCTCAACTAATTGTCCAAGTAGACTATTCAAACTACACAATCTAGTTTAATAATAGTAACTATTTGTAACATACATTTTTTACACACAAAAAGGTGGTTCTGGTGATCTCTGGATTGCGTCAGTACCCTAGCAAACAATCTCACGTGGATTTGAAACCAGGCAGAGGCTCACTAACATTTTTAGTAATCGCCAATGTCTCGGCTTGGATTTTTCATTCGGTGCTGACCAAAACTCATGATCTACAATATTCTCCGACCAATCTCTTCAACAAAGTGACCTGGATAATATTGATCAACATAACGGTTCCGCTTCTTCTCTTCTTCTATTTCCATTCCAGCGTTTGTCTGGCCGACATTTGGCATCAAGCTTACGTTCCGTTACAGCACAACGTACATAAGCCTCATGGAAACCAAGATCATTTGAACCATGCGTCGTCACATCACGACGATTTAAAAGCTGATGATGTATTTAGTGAAACTTTGCCGAGTTTGAAACCATTGGCGCGAACTCAGCCACAACAGAGATCTGCAATAAGTTATTTGAGTCCGCTCATTCGTTCGGTTTCGGTTTCTCAACTCATACAAACCAGAAATATTTCTTCAAATAATTTTGACGATAAATCATGCAACAGATCCCTTTCAGAAATCCCACAAGGAAAAAGAACCTTTCCGTCACCCAGAGATGAAGACAATTACAAAGATAACGCTTACAACGAATACAGAGAGTACATCCACATGTAAATGATTCGAGAAGAGAATCTTATTTTTAAAAAGTTTAAATTTAAGCTTCATCACAGTCTTTTTTATAGCAAGTTAAAATATTTATCCTTTACTGTTACTTTATTCTTACTTTATATTTATTATGCCATGTGCTAGAATGACTAAAAATTTCATTGGCATATCGACTTCTAACATGGCAGAAATATTCAAATGCACGTTTTTACAATTGTGCAATTCACTTTTACATTTTAATGTCACACTTGAATAAAATTTTTAAAAATTTTTTTGAAAATCTTATAAAATTTTATGTCGGCATTATGTTCTGAACTTAATTATGCAGTGTGTTCACGTTTCAATGGAACGTGTGTATGAAGGTAGCCACGTATTGAGTAACTTTTTATTTTAAAGTTTCTTATGTTCGATGAGAAAAGTTTTAAATCCAAATACTTCAATCACAAATGTGATTTTAGTAGCAAAGTGGGGCTAATAATATCAATCAATCAATTAATTAGCTTATAAAGCGCTATTTCCGCGATGTTCAACAGCGCTCCTCAATGAATTTTGAAAATAGATGGGTCTTGAGATCCGCTCTGAATTTTGCAAGTGAGGGAGAAGTAGCCAGAGAAGTAGGTAGAGAGTTCCAGAGAAAAGGACCGGAAAAAGCAAAAGCAGATTTGGCAAAAGAGTGTTTAACACGTGTTAAGAAAAAGCGAGAACAAGAAGACGATCGTAAACCGGGGCGTTGACAGTCCTTTTAGTAATAAAAATAAATAATTAAATTAATAAATAAATATAAAAAGTTTTTGGCAAAATAATTACTAATTTAAATCAAAGGTGCTATGATAGTAACAAGTCTTAATAAAATTATTTTATTCGCAGCACTGACTGAAGATATGTAGTTGTAGAAATATCATAATCAAAGTACTACTTGGCGTTGTAATATCAAAATCAGGTATATAAAAAATTTTTTCTTAACAATGATAGGATTAAACGTTTTAAAAACTTAGTAAAAAAAAGCTAGATCATTCAGAAATTTAACAATCTGATATGCTTAACGTACATTTGAGGACTTTTAAACTATGTCGTTCTAATTGAAGCATAGAGGTACGTGATGAAATCTCACACAAGTTCAATCAATATTTCGTCATATCTTCAAATGCGTCATTTTGTAATGCGTTACTTTGAAAAAGATTTTATAGGCACGAGAAAAAAATTTCTTCTTAATACTTTATAAAAAGTTAGATATTTGATATTGGTAAAATATTGTTAATAGAAGTTTATTTATTATATTTATTTAAAATTTAATTCAATAGAATTTTCAAATCATTCAATCGGACGGTACGGGTGCTTGTATCTTGCTCACAACCTTCACGTATCTATCTATCATTGAGCATATATGGTCGTCATCATTCTATTCTATATAACGTATCTCCCTATTTAAAAATCTAGATCTATCTTTTGAGGTTTCGAAAATTTCATGATTTTATGGGTGGATTCCTCAGAATTATTTAAAAAATTTTCTACTTCTAAAACTTGGAATGAATCTTTTTATTATTTCATTACGAACTCTTAAAAACTATCTAACGTCATGTGACTGAAATTAAAAACGGGTTTGCATGATGAAAAACATTTTCATTATCCGCTGAGATATTAGTGAAAATTATTTTTCCACCGATTTTGAAGTCATCATGTTGACGATGTTTTCAGGTATAATGTTTCGTTTCACGATGGGTACTAGTTAGCTTATTTAAGCTACATTAAATTAATATTTTGTTTTATTATTCTGTTACTTATTCTTTTAATTTATTTTTATATTCAAATCTACTATTTTATTAAAATGATCAAAATTATTGAACTTATTTGAGCTCAAAAAATCCGTGTAAATATTTTTTTAGCATTTCATATTATAATCAAATATAATATTTTAAACTGCTTGAATTTTCAAAATTCAAATTTCATCATGACAAATTCATCCGCCAAAATTCATACAATGAATTTACAAATAAAATCAAATTTTAACATCTTCAACGAATTCATCTTGCCAGCTCTGAAGCAGAAGAAACACATGGAAGTCCTGCATGACAAACAATCTCAACCAGACGAACAAACGGAAACAGGTGGGATCAAGGACGTTCACCCCTCCACTCCCTCACAAACAATCAACGCGAGAGCTGACGATTCACCATCGTTCACGTCAACAACTTCATCCACAAACATGCTAATCTCGCAAAGACAACAGCATCAGCAACAGGATAAAGAACAAGTAGACAATAAAGAACAGGATGAACAAGGAGACGAACAAGAGCCGGAACTAGAGCAAACAAACAAAAACGAATACGAAACTTATGACGACAACCAATTGAGAGGACTCTACAAGAAATCGAACAAAACTAAAATGTCGGGAAACAAAATTTTTGGCAGCAGAAAAAACATGGACAGCTTCTCAATCAACAGCACTTCAAAAAAAAACAACATCAGCGAGCCCCCGCGGACTCAATCCTTGAGCATGCTCCTAACCATCAACAAACCTCCGCCAAGGAATGGCAAGAAAGGAGACAGCAAACAGTGAGTTGAGATGGTGGTCAGTTTGAGGTGGTCAGATTTTTTGGTGTTTTTTGTTGCTATATAGATTTATATTTTGTCTTTCATTTGTTTCTCCGTTTCATTATTTATCATGTTATAATTGCATTTTCAAATCCTTATAATATTATCAGCACACACAAACATACACATACCACACACAAACCCACACAAACACAAATACACACACAACACACACAAACAAATATATACACACATATACGCACAAACTCTGACACACATAAATACACTCTGACACACATAAATACATACACACTCACACACACACATACGCACACACACACACGCACGCACACACACACACACACACGCACGCACACACACACACACACACACACACACACATATATATATATATATATATATATATATATATATATGTGTGTGTGTGTGTGTGTGTGTGTATATATATATACACAGACATACACATATGTACTCACATATATACTCACATATACACACCTATGTTTTTCTAGTTATCTATTCCTCGTCCATTTTTTGCTTTCAAAAGATTTATTACCTAAAAAAAAACATCAGATATAATTTATTACAATGTTTTATAGGTATAAATTTTTTTGTCTAACGCAATATCGTAAAATTTTACCTGTTTTAAAATTTAGTATTTTCAAAATTTATTAGTAAATTGATGAGTTCGGAGACGACAATAAATTTTATCGACGTCCTGGTCTAATAAATAACAACTAAACTTGGTAGTTTTTATTTTAAACTTTGATTTGAGGCGCTTGAAAAAATATCAATTCATATAATTTTTTTACGAAATACTTTTCAATTAAATGAAAACAATTCACTCGTAAAAAATAAAGACATTCCATTTCAATTATTTTTGTCAATTAGTTTATTTTAATTGTTTATTTTATTTATTAACTTTTTCTAATTTTATTTTTAATACTAAGTAAGATTTATTTTAACCGTTTAATTTGGTTAAAACACTTAATCCTGTTGTTGCAGTGATAAAGTTCCTGGATTCTAATTTAAGCTCATTGCATAGTTGCCAACCGTCCCAAATTGGGTTGGACAGTCCCGAATTTTGTCCTCTATATCCGATGCCCAAGACATTTAGTATAGAAATATTGAAATAGCAATTTAAAAATATACACCGATCTCTTTGATGCTTCTAACACAAATGACTTTTTTTTAATTTCCTAGCGATGTCAGTGATGATGATGATTTCGGCGAAACATATCAAAGAAAAATTTCGGATACCGACGTTTTAGTATAATTGCAATATCGATCATGATTATGATCCTAATGAAACGACAAAGGAAAACGCCGACTGTTCATTTATTGATAGTTTAATTTTATTGCGATATATCGATGATGATTATGATTGTGCAATAAAAAGTTAAAAGCACTATCACAAAATTATATATATATATATATACATTGTGAAGAATCTCGCATATTTTATCAAAGCTTATGTTGACAAAGGCCATTTGTTTGTAAATGAAGATTGGATCAAAAACCATGAGAAAATAATTAGTATTATTACATTAACGTTCGGTTGAAAAATATGTTGAAGAACGCCTTACTTACTTATTTTCAACAGTTCTGGATTAGCGAGATTATTGAGCATCTTGTACGCCATCCTGATCATCATATGCGGATTCATCTTTCCCATCGTTGAAATTCTTCAGGACCAGTGGCTGAAGACCTGGTATAATGGGGTAGGTCTAAATTTGTGTTGTCAGTCAGGGTTTTTTCGATGTTGTTGCTTTTTTGAGTAATTTTGAGATGACTTTCAAATTGAATTTGATAGCAATCTGTTTAACGTTTATGTATCACATTTTCATATTGAATTATATTACAAGTAATTACTTATTTCTAGGAAACCGTAAAAAACATTTAAACAAATTTTTTTTTCAAACTTTGATGTGACGCGAATTGCCGTTCAAAAAAATACTATTGCAGATGTACATCTTCTACATATACACCCTGGGAACCCTGATATACATCTACATGCAGGTAGTTCTGGCACTACCATCCAGCGACTGTAGTCGCAAAAATCACGGTCGAACGGCTTCATCAACAGACGGGCTAAGTGCCAAAATTAGAAATCACTACGTCAACCACGGTTTTGCCACCACTAATTCAGCCAAATTACACGAGCAGAATTCAATTAAAAAACCGAACACGGAGCTGAACGTTGATGTCGACTTGGACAACAAACTGGCCAGTCAGTACAACATATCCAATCAGGAACAGAACACAAGAAAACAAAAAATTGGTCATTCAACCAGCTTTAATGAGAAAAAAAACCATGCCAACAAAAAGTTAATAACAGCCGTGTTGAAGTTCAACAGCACAACTCGCTTAAACAGTAGCAGTAACATAAATAGGAGGAGCACAACTAACTTGCCGACAGATGAGAAGGATGAAGATGAAATGTCGGAGACAATTCAAAGGCACAACTCTATGCTGGAAGAGATTCCAACTGTGGACGAAGAAATGTGCGAGGAAGAAAAGATGGAAGAAATTCTCATTGACCTGTCCGAACTGGGGACCATCTTCAGTCATAATGGGTCGAGTTTTTTCTTGCGGATTGGGACGTTGCGTGAGTGTCAAGTAAATGCTAACGTGTGCTGGAATGTGTTTCGCTTGTTTGAATTGCTTGTTTTTAGATTATGAATGTTTGATAAAATAAATTATAATTATCGTGGGAATTATTTTGACCAAGCTATAGTATATAGAGATTATGAGCAGGGTTTTTTAATGTGGACTACTTGACGTAAGCCATTTGTGTTTTACTATTTCAGAATTTTTAAAATATTTAAAAATAAAATTCATCAAGATATATGAACTTTACTTGAAACATTGAATGTTTGCTGATCTAAAACCATGTTACGGCGAAGTCATTAACTTGAATCAATTGACCTGTTACGATTAACGAGTGTTTAACTTGTAGAATTAAATTTTTGATGATGATTAGTGCTTGTCACCTACAGAAAATTATAATTTTTCAGCGTTTCAAAAATTTTATTATTTTATGAGCATTACCCTAAATTTGGAATATGTAAAATGTTTTCTTGCAGCCTTTATTATGCGTGATAACTGATTTTTTGTGTGATATTATCATATGATGTTAACTGTATGTTATAAAGTTATGTAAAACAATTTTCTATAAATGACACAACAGTTTTTGGAGTAGGCCACATAATTTATGTCATGTTGGAGATACAGCAGAGTCTGATGAGGAAGCCGGGATGTGAGTTGGCCAAATTTTGGTGGGTCTTCATTAGTAGATTGCTATTTGTTGTCGTTCAGACGTTTGTCTTCTTCAAAAACCCCGCTGTAAGTTTTCGTTTTTAATTATTCACAATTTTTTGACTGTTTCAAAATTAGTTTTTTTTAATCTTCAATTATTGCCGGTTCTTATGGCGGAGTGTGAGAAAAAACTGAAAGAAAAGCTTCCCTGAAGGTTTAAAGGTAAATGTTGGAAAGACCAAAGTTATATGGAACGGAAAATTTTTGAACGTGGTAAATTTCCCTGTACGATGTGTGGTATGTGGTAAAGAGTCGGAGGAAATTCCATACTATGTGTAAAATATTAAAAATGGACGCACTAATGATGCAGTGGTTTGGAAGGAGACCTCAACAAAAGCAAGGAATTTGTTTATAAGAAATGTACGTTGAAAGATACTACAAAGCGATATGGTGATACTGGGCACCTGAAAAATTTGGGATTTGAAAAAGTGGAATCTTTTTGTTAATTTGAGAATATACTAGGTAAGGAGGGTGAATCGGATAGAGCGGTTTGGTTTCAAGCACTGGGCTTAAAACCAGAATTGGGACAGATTAAAGAAGAATGGAAAAGACAGTTAAAGGCGTGCGTGACCATGCGACAAGGCCAACCCGAGCTTTTCATCTGGGTTGAGCGCCTATAAGCTTACATGATGATAATTAGTTATTACATATAATTTCAGTTAATAGATTGTCTTAAACCTGCGATTCTCAAACTGTGGATCACGAACTCGTTTGGGGTCTAACGATGATTATCCGGCAAGGGTCACCTACAGACCTTAGGAATTATAATTTTTGTTTCTCTCATAATGTTTAATAGTCTAATTTTTTAAAGTAGAATGTGTATGCCTGCAATAACTCAAAATTTGTTCGTAAGGGACTGGTTAACTTACAAAATTTTGGGGTCACCACACCCCGTGGGTTATGGTACTAAAATGCCGAGGACCTCTGGTTTATACGGTCATGTGATATAATGATATTCCAGATGATTATTTGTCTAGCTCACATAGTCCATAATTCATTTTTGTTTACTCATCATATATATTTTATTTTGATTTCATTTGATCAAACAGTCAAGTTAGTTTTATTTATCCATTAAATTTCTTTGAAACGTTTAACGAATTAATAAATGAAGTTATCCAGTATTACATAGTGATGTTGTTTTAATCCATTATATAAATGATTTGCAGATTGTCGTGCGTAGATCTCAGAAAGTGTTTTTCCGATTTGGATTCATGCACTTAATTGCAACAAACTTCTGTGTTTGGATGCGGACTTTGATAAGCGAAATTATCTTAGAAGCAAATTATCTCAACAAAAACAATGCATCAAATACCAGCACACCAACATTTCTGCCGAAAACAAGCTACAGTAAGAACGTTCTATATTTATTTGTTGTCAACATTTTTGAGTGCTGAATATTTATTAATTATTCCAATCAATCAATGCCAAAATAACAAACAAAAAATTGAAATACAAAAAAAAATGATCGGCTACAATAAAAGCTTCTCGTAAACATTAAAATCCATCCACATGGTTCCAGTGGCTTAGCTGTACATAATATTTTTCGAAACTTGTTGATCAGATTGCACCACAGGCATCCTGCAGATAGCGGCTCCATATCTTTTCCCGTTCGTCATGGAGTACAGTTTGTTGTGCATCAGTGTGGCGTTCGTCATGTACTTCAGCATCAGTGAGGAGTCGAGAGACAACATCGAGAAAGGAATAACCAATCTTTTCAAGGTTAGTCGCTATATAAAATAAATAATGTAAACTAAAACGATAATTTCAATAAATTTTTGAGAATTTTGAAAATTATTTAATTTTTGTAGTTACGATAAAAGAAAATCGGATAATATAAAATTTTTCCCAAAGATCGATGTGTTTGAAAAAGACAGTCCGGAAGAAATTGAAAAAGATAAGTTGAAATCACCCAAAGTTGATCGTCGTCATCCACACGGCTTGTCAGAATCGGAAGAACTGTTCAGCAAGTCACACCGAGGCATCTATACGGGATTCATGTTCTTGACTGGAATCATCGTCTGCATTGTCTTTTTCAATTACTCGTACGGTAACTGGTTTGATCCGGTTAGATTGCTTTGAACTTTCCTTTGGTATCTTACTCTTTAAACACTTGTTTTATTGAAATCAAGTGTTTTTTGACTTTAAATTATTCGAAAAAGTTTCTACATTCAATGTTAAAACATAACTTTCAATAAATAGTATGTTAATGGTTTGCTCGAATTTTGTAGAAGTTTCTAAGTGTTCATCAATCTACTCAGAATAATTGCTTTTAAAATGTCATTCAAGTTTATCCTGCAATTTTAGCGACTGCCATAACTTAAGTAATATTTTTTTTAGATATGTAAAGTTTAAATTTTTTTTAACAAAAACCGCTCAGTATAATTAAATATTTTTAAAGATAAAAGGGGAAACGATCAGCCTGTCCTGTGCACTGTCCATTGCAATAATATTGTTATTTGTGGCGTTTGCCGCCTTAGTGCAAATGCAAGTCCTCTCAATCATCAACAAACCGAGTTCCATAGATGATTATTTGTTGATCATCGCCATGTTTGGTGGTCTGACGTACCTCCTCTGCATCATCATGTCGGGATTTAATGCTCTCAACAATGGAGTCTACAGAAGTTCAACTCTGGAAACGTTAAGGATTTGCATGGGATTTTGTGGCATGGCTCAACTAATTGTTCAAGTAGATTATTCAAACTACACAATCTAGTTTAATAATAGTAACTATTTGTAACATACATTTTTTACACACAAAAAGGTGGTTCTAGTGATCTCTGGACTGCGTCAGTACCCTAGCAAACAATCTCACGTGGATTTGAAACCAGGCAGAGGCTCACTAACATTTTTAGTAATCGCCAATGTTTCGGCTTGGATTTTTCATTCGGTACTGACCAAAAATAACGATCTACAATATTCTCCGACCAATCTCTTCAGCAAAGTGACCTGGATAATATTGATCAACATAACAGTTCCGCTTCTTCTCTTCTTCTTTTTCCATTCCAGCGTTTGTCTGGCCGATATTTGGCATCAAGCATATGTCCCATTTCAGCACAACGTACATAAGCCTCATTGGAACCCTTATCATTTAAGCCATGCGTCATCATATCACCACGGTTTAAACGCTGAAGATGTATTTAGTGGAAATTCGCCGAATTTGAAACCATTGGCGCGAACTCAGCCACAACAGAGATCTGCATTGAGTTATTTGAGTCCGCTCATTCGTTCGGTTTCGGTTTCTCAACTCATACAAACCAGAAATATTTTTTCAAATAATTTTGATGATAAATCATGCAACAGATCCCTTTCAGAAATCCCACAAGGAAAAAGAACCTTACCGCCACCCAGAGATGAAGACAATTACAAAGATAACGCTTACAACGAATACAGAGAGTACATTCACATGTAAATGATTCGAATGAGAACGTGTTTTAAAAAGTTTAAATTTAAGATTCAACGCGCAGTCTTTTTATATAGCAAGTTAAAACATTTATTGGTTAATTTTACATTATTCTATCTACGTTTTTATTATGCCATGTGCTACATTGACTAAAACATTTTATATTAAAAGAATTTCGCTTGCATTTTGACTTCTAACAATGCAGAAATATTCAAATTCACATTTTTTCAATTGTGCAATTCACTTTTACATTTTAAAATTACACTTGAATAAATTTTTTAAAAAGTTTTGAACATGGCGTGAGTTAGCATTACATTCTAGGATGAAGTATGCAGTGTATTCACGTTTCGATAGAATGTGTGTATGAAGAGGCAACGTATTGAATAAAATTTGTTTTCCTAAAATTTTCTTTTGTCTTGAGATTGTCCAATGTTGGGCGATAGGAACCATGTTTCACTGGAGAAGTCGACTGTTTCATGATAAAAAAGTATTTGCAATTTTTCGCTGAATTGTAATCTTCCGTTTCAGTGTCGGAAAGTGGTGGTAAGGATCCAGGCTGGATTTGAGTTTGTCGATAGTTGCTGAGTCCTCTTCCTCTCCCACGAGTTTTGCTACTCTCTACATTAGCTAATAAAAGTTTAGACCCACGTGTTTCTATCGGATATGCTTTTCCTCTTCCACGTTGCGGCAATGGAAAAGTTGTAATTTTGCCGGAAAAGTTTTCGCACAATTCGTCCGAGTTATCAACAATTTTCTGTCCGTCTTTCTCAACATTTTCATAAATGTCTGCTTCGGGGATATTTTCTTTAAAATCATTTTTGTCCAACATTTGAAGCTCTGTTTCTTTGTGTTTTTTGTTATGCAACTTTTTAGTTAACTTTCTTTTTCGAAATAAGGACATCAACTTATTGAGCGAACCACTTTTTTGAGGTTTAGAGTTTAAATTCTCCAGATTATTTTCAGTCAAAATTTTTTCAATTGTTTCAGGAGTTTCCATATTGTAAAAATAATTTCAAAGTTTGTTTTCAAAATCGATGTTTTATGGTCAGAAAAGTATATTTAGCACTTTGCTTTGTTACAAAATGGCGGTTAATTGTTTTTACGTTCTGCTTTATTATTATTTTAAAATGTTATTTTACGTCACTAAAAATTTATTTAACTAAACTGTAATCTTATCAAAAATATATCAAAAATTTGTAAATCAATGCTGATGATTTAAAAATATGTGCATAAGAGTATGAATGAAGATCATAGTCATTTATTCAATATTTGTCTCTTTTTAGCTTTTTGCATTTCAGCAATCCTTGTTTTTACTGCTATAGGATCAGCTTCATATTCCTCACGCTGCTTTCTTAACATCTTCTGTTTAGCCTTTTCTATTTCTCTAACATGCAAAAATCTCTCTTCACTTGCCGTCCTTTCTCCAGCCAACGAGACCGGCAACTTGGTATTTTTAGGAGTTTTAAAAGTAAACAAACCACACAAGACATATGTTATTTCATCGTCGTTGTCCTCAAATTTGAATTTTTCCTTCGCCAGTGCAAGTTTTTGTTTCAATAATTTTTCCGCTTCTTTTTTCTTGATTCTTTTATTTTCATCAATTTCATCTTCCAGTTCATATTTGAGAGCTTTATATTGTAGGACGAGATACTCATCGGGAACAACTTTTGATTTCTCGGGGACGGTTGATTTAGCCGATTTTTTATTTATATGAGATTTCCTTTTATTGGATATATTTTTACCGTCGCTCTTTTCGTCGTTAGATTTTCTTTGAAGTGATTTAGAAGATTTTTCCGTTTGGCCAAAATTTACTCTTGTTTCTAACGTTTTTGCTGCATCGATCTTTTGGCTCATTTTCACCAATAAGTAATTTTATTCGTGAATATACTTTTGCGTATATATTTTTTAAATTGAAATAGAAACGTTCGGAAGAAACTAACCCATCACAATGATTAAAATTGTTTATTAGTTTATTTGTTTTGATATTTATTTGCTACTTCGTTTATTCAAAAGAAAATTAAAAATATTTATTTCGTCATGTTAGGCTCTTCTCCAACATTAGCAACTGCTGGAATGTTTCTAAATCGCAACAGTTCGCTTTTATTTTCTGTCAAAAGTATTTCATTAATTTTTCCTGCATAGATATAATGAACATTGCATAGTATTAATTTATCAACATAAAAAATAATATAGAATGATGATAATATTCACAAGAGCAACACGTTATGCAACAATAAAATAATACTTCAGTCAATTTTAGAAGTTCTTTTTTGAGGTCGAAAGATGGTTGAATGCAGCCTTTCAGTCGGTTAAGTTGTTGAGTTTGTTGTGGGTTAAAACACCTAGTTTCATTTTCAAAAATAGCTCTTAACAAAAATTGCAATCGAACAAAAACTTAAAAAAATAAAGAACAAATTTTTTGATGTATTAAAATACTGATAACATTTTTGAATAAAATATAGAAACATCAAAAACAAAGTAATTTAAAAAACCTTTGTACTGCTGGTTGACATTGTTGTACTGTTGGTGGGAATTGTTGTAGAGTTGGTGGGCATTGTTGTTCGAATTGGAGGGTGAAATTTTGAGGTAGGAAATTTTGTTGCTGGCCAGGACATTGAGAAAGATATGGTCTCATAGGCTGTGGCAAACAATGCTGCATTGCGTTGAGCATGGGCTGTTGGCTGACATTGTGTAAACAGTTGGGCATATTGTTGGACATGGGAGCGCACACCGAGGGGGGTACATATGAGGATGACGCAAAGGAGGGGTGCACGAAAGAGGAGGGCATGTGGGGCACACAGGAGGGGGGCCCAAAGAAAGTTGGCATGGGGGGCACAAAGTTACAGGTTTGCATTGCTGCCTGATTCTGGGAATAAAAAATGTGATTCAATTATCCATTTACTGAATAGCCACAAATAACAATAATTTAAATTTAAAAAAAAAAACAAATTCGATAAAATACTTTTTAATCTCACGTTCTCATTTGAAATTGCTTAAAACTGTGGATTGGTCTGTTATAATTAACTCACTCTTTAAATAAAACTATTCTGCGTAAACAAAAAGGTGCTTTCGTTAAAAATAAACAAAAGACCATATAAATTATTAGAAATACCATCTCCATCATGCCAGTACTGGTCAAGCAGCGAGTCTGATTGAGAGTCGGATTCCGACTGCCGTTCGTCATCGCTGGTACTTGTGGATTTTGATTGACTGTATTTGAATTGCAGAACGGTTGCTGATGAGTCGTTGCGGGATCTTGCGGATGGTTGGCAGGAAAGGGCCACGTACCCTGATGGTGCATCCAGCCCTGAATTCTCTCTACTTGTTGCTGGTTTGCTATACACGGGCTAACAATTTGGCAGTTTAATACAAAAAAATAGGAATTAATATTTTTTTCGCCGCAACTACCGTAAAATTTTTGTATCAGACCAATCCACAGTCAATTCGAAATAAAACCCAGAGTGATTTTGTCGGCAAAAATAATCAGCTGTCAAAAATGTAACAGCAAAAATTTAATATCTTGGTTGAAATTTTTAAAAATTTACAAACTTTTTACTGAAAATATTTCGAATTGTGAGTAAATTTTGTTTATTTCTCAACTACAACCTCGTATTTCTTGATAGTCACTTCAGTCGATTGATTGATATAGATACAGTATGGCATTGCATATTTTTATCATTCATAAATTCAGTCATTCTTATTCATAACTTACGTGAAAATATTTCTGACCTCTGGGGCTTTAGGGCAGTTGAAGGTCGGTGCAGGGCATAGGTAAGGTTCGCGGACCTGTAGAATAAATTATTTTTTGGGTTTAATATTAAATAAAAAATTTATAATACTTTTATTGCCAAAATTGTTTTTTTTATTATTTATAATATTACGAATATTGCTAAAATTAATGTTACCTACAATATTATTTATTAAATTCATTTCAATAAGTAGTGATTATAACTACAAAATAAAAAATAATAATTTAATAATTTTTTCGTATCATAAGTTATTTTAATTTTATTTCTTTCTTTTCTATTTTTGTGTTATTACATTTTTTTTGTGACAAAAGTTTGCGTAGTCTTGATTTATATTCTATCTTCTGATGAATCGGTTTTTCGAGAAAGGACAAAACGTTAATGGACGGAAATATTAAGAAAAAAAAAAATCTATCTCCTGTTAGCTACATTGAAAAATCATTTCAATTGAAATTATTTATTGGGAGCAGATTTTCTAGCAAATGTAACAATACAGAAATTTAATACGCAGTTTACTACTTTAGTTTTCATGCATAAAGTCTGGAAAAAAGCTGACTTTTTTTCTAAATTTCTATCCAAAGTGTTGATTATAAACTAAAAGAACACCTTGTTACGCATTGTTGTTTAACACTTTTTGACATTGTTAAGTGGTTAGGAGAATTGAATTTTGAAATAAAAAAATATTCAAATAATCTCTATTTGATAAAAAAAATAACAAACCTAAGTTTACCCGATTTCAAATAAAATAATATCAATGGCATACTTGCTATTTTCTTAAAATAAAAATATATAAATATTGAATTTAACATAAAATTGAATTATCGAATTGAAATTTTGCTCATCGAACTTGGTTGGCTGGTCTGTGATAGACCTGCTGCGTTGAATTGAGATTACAACCGACTGGAATGCATGTTGGGGCAGGTGGTTGGATGCAACATACGGAATGCTTCGGTTTTGGAACATAACATTTTTCAGCTTCCGTCTGTCGAAATTGTCTAATGATCTATGACGAATAAATTAACGTTAATTTTTTTCACAAGATCATTGTTAATATGTAAGCCTACGTCGTTGAAGTTTTTCCTCGAGCAAACCGATTCGCAACATTTCGTTACACTAAGTCTGATTGGCATAATTTGAAAAATTGTTATGTTGCATTTTAAAAACAAAATCATTTTAACAAGTACAAACTTTCTATAAGTGTTGGGTGGCGTTAGTGGTCGGCACCTGATCCACTCGGCGCAATATCTGTTCTTGTCCACAGAGGCCATTCTGCCGCCCTAATTTATGATTTCAGGTAAATTTTGAAAATTATAATGATGTCATATTTAAAATTTATGAAATCCTATTTTTTGCCTGGAAAAAATCAACTCACTCGAACAAGTACGTGGCTGATTGTGCTAGAAACACATTTTGGATCTCTAACGTAAAGTGTCTTCAAACCGTTCCGTTCTCTCCTTCTTGGTCTAGATGTTGATATCCATTTTTCAACAGCGACTTTTTGCCCGCTCCGACTATGTTGACCACATCGTGTATGTCGACCACTACGACTATGGCGGCCGCTCCGTGTATGTCGACCACTACGACTATGTCGACCGCTCCGACTTTCTCGATGTCTCCGACTTCTTCGATCGCTATCTTCGCTAGTTTGGCAGCTCCGACTATTCCAATGGCTCGAACTATACCGACGACTCGGACTGTGCCAACGACTCGAACTATGTTGACGACTCAAACTATGCCGACGACTCGGGCTATTTCGACCACTCGGACTATGTCGACTACTCTGAATATTCCGACGACTCGGACTAACTTGACCGCTCCGACTGACTCGATCGCTCTCTTTTTTCTGAATTTTTGTATGTAGGTCAGGCGGATAATTTTGTTTGGATTTGTCGGCACTTTTTATTGCTTCATTGTTTTTAATGTTATTCCCAACAGTACTACTGATTCCGTCGTGTTTTGTTTCCGGTTTGCTCGGTATTTTACCTTTTCTAAGTCGAAGAATATCCTTCAGATCTGACTTAGTATCGGTTGTTGTTGTTGCTAAACTTGCCAAATTTTTTAAATCGGATTTTGTTACCGTTGTTGAAGTTGCCAAACTAGGAATGGTTCTTGTGTTAGATTTGGTTGTGGTTGCAGTGGTTGGCAAACTAGAAATATTTTTCATGATAGACTTAGTTGCAGTTGTTGATGTTGCCAAGCTAGGAGTAGGAAGATCAGTCTTTGTTTCAGTTGCCGTGCTATCGGTGGCAGGAGCATTTGTATCAGATTTAGTTTCGTTTGCTGTACTAGCCGTTTCAGCGTCCGATGGATCTTTTGAAGCATCATCAGTTTTCGCACTTGCAGTATCTCCAACATCAGGTGTTGTAGCTGCAGTTTCCGCCGTTGCTTCCGTTTTTGTTCCTGTTGCTTGCGACTCTTCCTCTTTCTCCTCCTCCTCTCCACTTTCTTCTGCACTCTCGCCTTCGGCTGGAGCAGAATTTCTGCTTTTGTTTTTAAGTGACATCCTCGAATAATTTTTTTGTTTAAAAGGCGTTTGTGAATTGTTTGTGTCTTTGAATGACATTCTAGAAGCATTTTTGTTATCGTTAAATAATTTTTTTATGGATTTTATTACTTGTTGGTGTTGATGGCCGCCAGGTAAATTTGAAGAGCAGATTGGATTTTTCGGTTTGTCTGGCAAACAAATTAAAGGGACATCAATAAACAAGTGAGGTATAATTTTTTGAGACGCATTTATACTTTTTTCATAGTTTGGTTTTTGACAACGATCAGAATATTTTAATTTTTCTGCATTTTTCTGAGGCGCATTCTTAATGTATTGATTGTACGGTTTTTGGCAACGATTGAAGCATTTTAATTTTTCTCCATTCCCTTGAGAAACATTAGTGACTTCCTTGTTGTTTGATTTTTGACATATCTTAGTATTTTTCATGATCTCCACATTCTTTTGAGTTTTATCAGGCAGACCTTGCCTCTTCGAAGTTCGGCTTCGATTAGAACATTCCGTCTTGTCTATTTTTTCCTCATTCAACTTATTCGCAACTTTTTCATTTTCTTTCTGCGTTTTGAACAAGTTCTTACACAAATTTTTGGTTCTTGAAAATGCCGATTCACTTTTGTTGGCATTATGAGAAACATTCAGATTGTTAATTTTTAGCGTTTGATCGTTTGTCCAATCATCATTGCTATTTCGTACTTTAAATTTTGGCTCATTCAAGTAAACAGGTTTAATCGATAATTTTGTTTTTGAGATAAATATATTTTCGCGGTTTAACATTTAAACGTGTTGAGTTGATTGTTATTAATTGCGTTATATACAGTTCGCTCTGGATTGTCATCACAATTTTCTTATAGATAATATACTAAGATGTTCAGTTGAAATTTAAATTTTGATAGATGTTACAAACCGAACTATGTCTGGTGTTGTCATTTTAAAATCAAACTAACAAAATAAATTAATAATAGCTCCAGAGTTGTTTATTGTTTTTATTTTCAATGACGTTTAAAATTTTGAAATTGATTAACAAATCTTTTAATTTGAAATTTTTTAATTAAAAAATGGATGCAATTTGCAAATTGTTATTTGTAAGAGTGTAATAATCGACTGTACATTTAATTGTCATCTGAGGAGGCATCACCGATTTCACAAACTTCGCCGTCTTTTAAGCATTTCTTTTTCTTCTTCTTACCATGGTTTAATTTATAATCTGTTTTTAGTTTAGCGATTTCAAGTCTTATGTTATTGATGTCGTTGTCATCATCTCCGAATTCCATGTTCCTTATCTCTTCCTCTTTTTTCTCTTTTTCGGCCAACAGGTTGCATATGTCTTTGTTCAACTCTTTAATAACATTCATTTTGTGATCGGAACATTCTAATTCTTTTTTAAGCATTTCTGTCATGAGAACAAATTTTTTTTAATTATTTGCGTAATTAAGCAGACATTGAAAAAAGAATGCAAAATAAAAATATTTACCAGTGGAAGTCTCTCTCTGTAAAAAAAATAATTTCAATGAATCTTTACGAGTTGAATCATGAAAAAATGTCCGAAAATGAACTGACTTTGACATTTCTGCTTGGACATCGCTTGAACATTTTTTTGTACTTTTTTGCTTTTTTTGCATAGTAACTGTAAGTGCAATGCAACTAATTTTAAGTAAATTTTATTGAAATTTCACGTTAAACTAAGAAAAATATATTTTACTTTGTGCAAGGGTTACAGCAGGGCGGCTGATAACATCCCATTGTACCACAAGAAGATCCTACTCCAGGCCAACTATGGTACAACCAATTATAAATGTTTGGAGGCGACTGAGGAATACACGAAGGTGATCCGGTTATTGGTACCATTGTTTGTAAATGACTGCTGCATGGTTTGCAACTTTTCGAACGGGAAAATAATTTTGGTTTAAGACAGTTTGAAGAACTGCTGCTAGACGAGGATTTGCCATAAAAACTAGGAACTACAATAACTTGAGCTTGAGAATTACAGCAAGGAGAAGAAGAACAAATTGGATGGGAACGACAAGGATAGAATTGGTTGAAATAATTTGTACACGGACACACAGGAGAGCAAGGAGAACAACAACAACTTTTATTGCAGCAGTTAAGCATATTTCTTTTCATCAGTATTGAGTTTAAAATTTTGTCTACTTCTTTTTGTACTCGGATTTCATCTCTTTCTTTCATTAAACGGCAGTACGTAGGATCTTTTTCTAACGCTTTCTTAACTTTGGCATCTATAGCTTTACAGTTGGTTTTTTCTCCGCTTAATTTATGGATCAAATCGGAGTTGTCTTGCATGGAAAACATGTTTGTGACAGGCATTGGACAACTGTTACAACAGCAACATGGTTTCGGTGGGCAATGGAAATAGTTTGGACAATACATCATATTTGGTTGGTCTAATAATACTATTTCTTCAATTTCATAGGGTATTTCGTCTTGGTAGTCACAGAAATAATTACAGTCATACCTGAAAGTTAGAGTTACAATTATTAACTGAAAATTATGTTATTTTGTTAAATAAATTTAGACGGCGAAATAATTAGAGACACAGGCACTCTGTCCTGCGTGGCAAGAACCGGTTTCAAATGCTAGATGATTCTTGCCTATCATACGCAATGGGTCTGACGCGGTTATTCACTCGTATTTACAAACATCGAGTGAATTGGAAATAGGAAAAGCAAAACAAAATTCAAAGCACAAAATTTGCTTTAACAATAATTTCAACAGTGAAATAACAACAACCTAGGCAGGTAGGAATCATACACGTATTCATCCTCAACACAATCTCCACATCCAACATCGTAGTAGTCGTCATAATCGTCATCATTCTCATAATCGTCATCATCCGTTTCAGAACTGCTAAAGCCGTAATTGTTATTCGCTTGCAACATGTTGTAATCGAATTCGTAGACACCACCGTCTTCAATGTCTGCGTCCAACATGACTACTTGTTCTTCTTCGTAATTTTTACCACTACCGAATGTTTCTAGGTGCATTCCCTTTGTTGGATAATTTTTTAAATATCGACGGTCGTACGTCCCGTCGTTGTAACGTGATGTGCGTCTTAACTGAGAGACCCCTCTTGGATGGAAGGAAATTTTTTTCTCGTTTCTCACTGGTGGTTTTATTAAAGTTCTCTGAGTTTTCGTGACTGGAAATAATTGAGGGGGTAAGGAATGGGAACGAAAGGGATATTTTTCAGACTGCGGATCATCAATTACATCGTACTCACTTCCATACATATAATCATCATCTTGATGAAATTCATTCGGCAGATCGTAATTATTTTTATATGAGGAATAATTATTGAATTCCGATTGAGGATATCCGTGGCAATATGACGGCATGCGAGGTAGCGAGTTCGATCTGTATGGACATCGTATGAAACATTTGCAGTGTTGGTTAAAGCAATTATGGCATGGTTGACAATTTTGTCTCGGTATAAAATTTCGGTTTCTATTGTAATAACAACTGCATGGATGATTTCTTCCTCTCAGACTTAAAGGCGTATTTTGATCGTATATTGTATCGCAAGAAATAGGATTCACGTTCATCTTCTCAACAACGATGTCTTGGGAAATTTTTCGATTGTTTAATTTTAAAGGCAGTTGACGATTTTTTATCAAATTCGAAGGACCCATGTTCATCTTTTCAACAACAACGTCTTGAGAAATTTTGCGATTGTTTAATTTTAAAGGCTGTTGACGTTTTTTTATCGAATTCGCTAAAACCCTATCTTTCAACAAAACATCGGTTCGTAGACACTGATATTCATTACCATGTTCAGAAGAACTTAACAAGAAGCATTTGTAAGTACAAGGTGATTTGCTGTTGTCTCTCAATGAGGAGTATTTTGAAAAAGGACTTCTTGATGAATATTTTCCATACTTTTTGGGTTGATATTGTTTGTTACGTAGTTTCTGTTGATAATCATGAATTTTTTTTTGTACATTGCTTTTGGATAACTGTTGGGTTGGATGGATTGAAACTTTTTTCAAGCGATGATTTTTTTTCAAATTTTCCTTTCGTTGTTCAATGGATTGTATAGGAACATTGACGCACGGGCATTTCATCAGTTGTGCACTTTCATTAGTTGGACAACAGCACGGTGAGCATGATTTTGAACATTTGTGGTGTCTTTTTGTTACGTATCCTGGTGAACAAGAGGTTATATTTTTCTGTCTCATTATATTTGTACATTTTGGCTGAACTGATTCGCACAAAATCGTTTTCGGCACAGTAATTTGTGGAACACAAAATTGCTGGACTGCAGGCGATGAGCATTGTTGAACACAAGTTGGCGAGTAACCTGATAAATATGTTGGAGAGTTTGATAAAAGAGGTGATTGCAAGCAAGGAGAACATTGGATGCAGTAACAAATTGGCTGTGGTGGTATTGGACGTTGTACTGGACCCGGTATAATGCATGGCTGGGGACACGGAGATAAACATTGTGGTTGACAAACTGGCGAGCATGGTGGTGAAATAGATGGAGTGAATGCGATGTACGGTTGGGGTTTGTTCAACACTTTGGCTTGTGCTACAAGAGGTGCTGGTCTTTTTGAGAAGCATTCCATGACAGGTTGAGAACACGGCTGACAACATGGTTGACAAGAGAGAGGTTTTAGAGCACTGTTACTCATATATTTTATGGCGTTAGTCGGTTGGGGATAACAAATATAATTTGTGCCAGGATTGAAACATTGCTGACATACCAGGCTGCATTGGTTGTTGAGACTCATGTTGTGATTGTTTGTTGAGTTTTTAACATTAAACTTACTATCTGAATTGCTATTTTCAGTTGATGGAGTCAAGGTCAAGGTTTTGTAGTTTGAACCGTTTTGTTCCCTTTTTATTTTTATTTTGGCATGTTCTTCATCATCTTTGAGATATTTATTCCTGCTACTCTTCTTTATGGTAGGGCTTAATTTTTTAAAATATAAATGAATTTCCTCATACATTTTTTTATTGACGCAACAAACTTTTTTAAAGCTAAATAATAAATGATTGTTGCTCTTGCCTTGTCCAATAATAATTCTACAAACAAAATCGTATCGAAGAATTATTGAGACATTTGAAATCAGTGAAATAATCGACCTTTAGCTTCTATTAATTATACTTTTAAACAAATAATTATTTATTCATGTTTTGTTGATTTAAAATTTTGTTTAAAAAACAAACAAATAATGACGTTTAAAGGTAGGACAACTTTAATTTGTAAAATTAATAAGTTAATGAGTCAAAGAATTATATAGAGCGGAGTGCATATAACACGTAAACAGGGGTGTAAAATTTAATTTTATTATTTGTAGCATCGAGCTGCAAAAGAAAATGAAAAAATTATTAAAGCTTTTAATTTGAAAATTGCATAAAATATGAATATTGAGCCAGAGATCATGTCTTTATTTATTGTAAATATTATAAAACAAAGAGTTAAAATAACGATTCTAAATGTTTTCAGTACATTAAACTTTTCTTTGAAGTTAATTCGACAAATTTATTTATACTGAGAGTGTGTTTTCAATAAAACGGCATCAGTTGTATATAGCCTCACAACACTAGCGATTTTTTATTTGGTGTCACATTTGTTGTTAGTGTGTGAAATATCGATAAATACAGAAATTTAAGCTAGAAATTTTTTGCACTGTAGAATTTGTAATTCTTTCCTGCCTAAATCAAATTTTCAGACCAAATTTTTTAGTTTTATCATAGACAATGTTAAAATTATTTTAACTTAGTTTAAATATTGGTTAAAACTTTTTCAATCAACGAACTGATTTTGTTTTCTTTTACTTTTATTTATTTAAAAAAATTTCAAAACACTTTCTACATTGTTAAAATATGTACAAAAAATGTTAATGTGAGCAAAAAAATGTTTCTGCAAAATTGACGGTTGTTAAACATGGAAACGTTAAGCTGTTATTTGTCTGAACGTTGAAAACCATCGTTTAAATGTTTTTTTTTAGCATTTTTATAATATTAATAAAAAAATTGTTGAATGTTTTTCATTTCAAAATGGCCAATTAAGTTTGTCACTTAAAAAAAAACAATTGTCAGCAAATTTCATCAGCAATTGGGAAAGTATGGGTAGTTTTGTCTCTGAAATCCAGGTCTGTTCCTAACGTTTCCCGAATTTGGAAAAGCCCCGTAATTGATCGGTGATGAGATTGGTGGCACCACTCCACCATTTCTCAATTTTCTTGTCACCTCACTGCTAATATCATCAATTATTATTTCTAAATAATTTTTCTTGACATCTGGGGTGATCTGATTCTTTTTTAACATATAATTATCGACTGATTGCTTATCGATGAGACAGTCGTTGTAACCAGCGCTACTCAAGATAGGCGAGTAAGGCATGAGACGGCAGTCATCTATCGAGCCAACGTAGTTTCTGTTCTCAAGAATGTTGTTCAAGTGGTTTATTCGGTTATGACACAAATCGCGGCAGTGACGAAATCTTAGGAAAGATGGATCACGACCTTTAAAAATCAAATTAGTTACAATTTTCAAACATTTTTTAAAATTGTATTGTTTATTAAATGAATAATTTACCTAATAATAGCTTCCTCTTTCGTTTCGAATGGAATCTCTTTTTTATTTTTTGTTTTTTCGCGTGCGCCTTTACGTATCGTATCAAACGTTCTAAATTTTTTTTATGAACTCGACCTTTCGTGATGAGTTTCATTATTTTTTTTCTTAATAAATGGCGTCGACGTTTGCTGAGCTGGTAGTGTTTACGCTTGCTTGATAGCACTTTCTGCTTATACTTTCTGAACTTTCTCTTCAGCAAGTGGCATACCTGGGATCTTGTGTAAAGGGCTTGTCTTTTGGCGCACTTTGTCATATAATTTTTTCGACGCGTTCCCTTTTTCTTAGATATTCTTCGATTCAAGTTTGTGTTTAATTGAGATGAGTTTTTATTTTGGCTTTGATATTGAGATGTACAACTTTCATATTCTGTCGGAGTTTGAATTTTATTTAAAATACGCTTGCTAGAACGGTAAAGTATCTCTTGAGAACTAAACTCCCAAGCGTTGTTTGATTTAAGACGCAAGCTTGATAATGAACTCAAATTTTGGTACAGTTTCAAGCCAGAAGCAGCTCCTATGTTAGCGGTAGAATTTTTAGATTCTGTTGTATAAGTCAATGATTTTAAAGTTGTATTCTCTTCACTGACAGCCTGCTTGTAATTGTGTGACAAAATCAAATTAGTACATGATGGTTTAGGTCTTGATCCATATATTTTAGAATTAGCAATTTTAGACCCGAAAGTTGAATTTTTAGAAGAAAGGTTATGGTGATTATTCTTGTTCAAATTTCTGTCAAATTTATTGTTTTTCCTGTCTTTAGCATTTTCAGTGTTAACGGTTTTACGATAACCAACATAAATGTTTTTTTCTCTTCTCAACATGTCTGAATTTTTGTTATCATTTGTTGATATCTGCTCTTTTATATTTACGTTAACCAATTTCCTTTTTTGCTGTTTTCTGTTGACTCGCTTTAAAACAGGTATTTTGGATGAATATTTCTGATTATAAATTTTACTCAGTGGGCAAAATATGTTTTTTTTGTTGCAGTTTTCGTCAACAGTTTCATTCTTGAAAGTTGAATTTTTTATTGATGTGGTTATCATGTGCCAATTTTTATCTCTTATTATACCACCAGCGTTGAGCAAGCTTTTAGAATCAATGGAATAATTATTTTGATTATTTCTTTGATTCATTTCTGATGCTATGTGAGTTGTTTTAAAAATTGGAATCAACGAAGATTTATTTTGAAACAATCTGAGTGACTGGTAGTTGTTGTTTAATTGGGTGTTTTTGCTGGTTAGAGAAGAATCATCGCTTTTTGTATTTATTTGCTCCACTCTCCCAGACTGAGTCTCGCTCGTTAGAGTTGATTTTGAAGACTCACTTGAAAGATTCGTAGCAGATTTTCTCTTGCTATTGTAAATTTTAGCATGATTCATTCGTTGTTCAACAGATCGAGTAGAACTCTCTGAACTGGATTCTTTCTTTTTGTTATCATTCATCTTACTCGCCTCTCCAAACCTTTGGTCATACGATACAATTTCTTTGTTTTTCAATTTTTTTCTCATATTCTCGGTTGCTTTGGCATTTGCTAAAAAGTCTTTAGAAGCAATTCTTGAAATATTTTCTTTAAGTTTACGGTCAATATTAATGCTAGTTATTGACTGCTTGATAGATTGGCCACTTTCACTGCTCGATTTCCCAAGCTCTTTTTCATATATTTTCTTAGTGGTTCCAGATTTTTTGTCATCTTTAAAAATAATTTTTGAAATTCCGATTGCGGAACTTTTGCTTATTTCACTGCCAAATGTTTTATTGTTTTTATTGTCTTCAAGTTTCATTTTAGTTTCAACTCTTTTCGCTTTTGTCTTCTCAAGCAAAATTTTGCCTTCATTTGCATTTATTTTCTCAGTACTTTCAGATTTCTTGTATGTCGTTATATTCGAAGTTTCATTTGTAATAGTTTCACTTGATTTGTCTGTATCACTGGTGCAAGTTTTTATTTTTCCCAGTAACGAATTGTTTTTAGTTGCATATATTTTTTCAATACTCTTGGACTTTAAGACATCTGTTAACGATTCTTTCGAAGAGTCACTTGCAATATTTTTACTGGATTTATTCTTACTCTCAGTTGTTTCTGCAAAACTTTTTGATTGGGTAGTACATTCAGTACTTTCGATAGACGACACTTTTGTTTTATTTCGACCTTTGATTTTAATCTTGCTTTTTTCATCATCAATTACTTTTATCATTTCGGGCAATGTCTTCCACTTAGTTGGACTTCTGTTCCTACATTTTATTTTTTCTCTGATGAAGGCATCGTATATTTGTTCGAGAAATCTCGTGAAATCATCGATCGATTTATTTATACCAAACCCGTATTCAATTTCATTTTTTCTTTTGCTTTTCAACAGTTTTTGAAATAATTCCTTGTTCTTTGTAGTTAATGTTTCAGTCAATTTATATTTGGATACTATTTTTTCAATAAGTTTTTTCAACTTAGCAACAGCCAAGTCATCTTTAAAATCTTGAGCCATTATTAATTCAGCCATCAATGATAAGTTTGAAACGTGTTTGTTCGCATCAAATGTTTTGGTTGGCTGTTTTTTCATATCACTTTTTGAGTCTTTAGTCCAAACGTGCAAAACCACATCGTTGTACATCATCTGCAACTTATCCAGATTAGTCCAAACTTTCAACTTTTCTGTGTTTTCCAGACCCGCATTTATAATTTCTTTTTCATGGAACAGTAAAGATTTTTGTGATTCTGTCGGATCGAGTTGCTTACCCTTTTTTGATAATAATTTTTTATTCACCTCTTCACTTGTTTCTGATATGCTTTCAGACGTTGTAGTTATTTTGATAACTTTTTCACTGTCAACTGATATTTTTGATTTCTTACTTTCCGGAGATCGTTTTAAACTTTTTTTTCTTGAAACATTTGATAATTTTTTTATTGGTTTTTTACCTGATTTTTTCTCGGAAACTTTTGTTGGACTTTTCTTTTTGGATGATTTAACAGATTTCCAAGGAGAACGATAGTTGATAATTTGTTTTTGATCGAACGGTAAAGATTTTTGTGGTTTTGTCTGATCGAGTTGCTTACTGCTTTTTGATAATATTTTTCTCACGCCTTCAATTGTTTCTGATTTGGTTTCAGATGTTGTAGTTATTTTGATAACTTCTTTATTGCTAACTGATATTTCTGGTTTCTTACTTTTCGGAGATTGTTTAAAATTTTTTCTTGCTGAAGCATTTGATATTTTTTTTATTGGTTTCTTACCTGATTTTCTCTCGGAAACTTTTATTGAACTTTTCATTTTAGATGATTTAACAGATCTCCGAGAAGGAGAACGATAATTGATAATTTCTTTTTGATCGAACGGTAAAGATTTTCGTGATTTTGTCTTATCGAGTTGCTTACTCCTTTTTGATAATAATTTTTTACTCACGCCTTCTCTTGTTTCTGATTTGGTTTCAGTTGTTGTAGTTATTTTGATAACTTCTTCATTGTCAACTGATATTTCTGGTTTCTTACTTTCCGCAGATCGTTTTAAATTTTTCCTTGCCAAAGCATTTGTTAATTTTTTTACTGATTTCTTACTTGATTTTTTTTTGGAAACTTTAGTTGAACTTTTCTTTTTGGATGGTTTAACAGATCTCCGAGAAGGAGAACGTTTCACAGATGTTTTAATTGTCTTACTGGACGTTGTTCTCACTATTGTCTTTGTAGTTCTTATTGTCTTGAACGTGGTCGGATTTATCTTTTCTACTGTTGTAGAAGTTATCACTTGTTTCGTAACGGAAGTATTTGATTTATTTTTTTCAAGTTCTTTAGATTTTACTTTTGAGACCTCGGTTATTTTTTGTGACAGTTTTCTCATTGACCTCTCTTTAGATGGTTTAGATTGTTTTTTAACAGTTGATCTCTTCCTCTTTTTCTCAGCGGCTAAATTTTTTTGTTTTAACTTACTTAATTTTTTTGATGATTTTATAGATTTTTTCGACTTATTCTTTGAAAATTTTTGATATGTTTTCACTAATTTTGGTGATGTTTTGTTTATTAGAGCTTTTAATTTATTTTTACTAGCACTTTTTTTCACAGGTCTCTTTGAAGTTATTTTTGCCAAAGCATTTGATTTTTTCTTATTAGCAATTTTTGGTTTATGTTTTGATGACTTACTTTTTATAGTTTCTACAGATTTTGTAGTTGAAATGCTGGTGACCGTCACTTTTGTAATTGAACTTGATTTTAGCGTTTTTTTGTTTGACCCCGTAGAATTTTTTTCAACCGCCTTTGAGGCTTTCTTTCCAACCTTTGTTTTAGCCTTTGTTGATTTCGGTTTTGATAATTTCTTAACCATTTTTTCTGTAGACTTTTGTGTTTGATCCTTTGTTAGTTTTGGTTTTGATGGTTTCATACCCATTTTTTCTTTAGGACTCTGGGTTTTAGCCGTTATTGGTTTTGGTCTAGATGGTTTCATAACTGTTTTCTCTGTAGGTTTCTGGGTTTTAACTTTTGTTGGTGTTGGGTTTAATGCTTTAATAACCGTTTTTTCAGTAGGTTTTTGTGGTGTAGCTTTTGTTGGTTTTGATGGTTTTATAACCATTTTTTCTCTAGGTTTCTGTGGTTTAATTTTTGTTGATTTTGGTTTTGATGGTTTCATAACTGTTGTCTCTGTAGGTTTTTGTCGTTTCTTTCTTAAGACATTTGGTTTTGTTATGTTTTGATTACCAAGTTTTTTTCCTAATGGACTTTTTGTTGAAAATTTTATTACGTTTTTGTATTTTGAAGCAGACGATTTTTTAGGTTTAACATTAGATATTTTTTCCGACAATTCTATTCGGCTAGATTTTTTTGATTTCAATACTTTTTGCTTACCTCGAACGTTTTCAACGGACGTTTGTGAAAATGTTTCAACTGAGACAATTGATTTAATTGTGGTCAATTTCTCTTTCTTACCAGGTGTTTTACTTACTTTCTTTGTATTTATTTTTTTAGTTTTAGCGGTGATGCTTGACGTACTTTTTGTTAAAGGTGTCTGTTGACGTTTTGTCATAAAATTTTTTTTCACTTTTGACAGTTTTGAATCAGCTGATATCTTTTTCTCAAATGGGTTTTTTGGGACAAATTTAGATTTTTTGTTTAAAGTTGTATTCTTCTTTTCAAAAAGTCTTTTTTTCACTGGCGATTCGTTAGCGGTTGTTTTTCTGTCAATAAGTTTTGATATTTTGATCTGATTTGGTTTGTTTGGTTTTTTAATAATTATAGGTTTTTCTTGGTATAGCTTGGTGGTTTTAACTTTGGATGTGACCATTTTTCTTTTCATGGATTTATTTACGGGTTTATTCTTTTTTGGCAGTTTTTTGGAAAGAATTTTATCTACAGATTTTATAATTTCCGTTTTGGTAATGTTTTTTTCTCCTTTTTCATTAATTTTTGAATTTTCAATTGTGTCATTTATCAGTTGATCTTCATAACGTTTTAAAATTTCTGTAGTAGAATAAGTATTGTAAGTCTTTTTGAAATCCATTTCTGACTTTTTCAATGATGATTCTTCAAAATCTATTGAATTTAATTCTTTGAGTAACCGAATTTTTTCAAAAATTTTCCTTCTTATCATCATAATTATATCCATTTTATCTAAACCAGGGAACGCTTTCAATATTGTTTCAATATATTTGTCTTTCTTAATATTACGTTTAAGCATCAAGATTTCTGCTATAACTTTTCTTCGGTAATTTGTGCAACATGTTACACTACATTTATCTGAATTGGTTTTTGATAAGTTGGTTGAGCCAGATTTCAAATTTGACTCAAGTTTTATCATTAATTCCTTCTGTAATTGCAAATCATCCATGTATTTATCGCCAATAATTACTTTTAACAATGACGATGATCTTCCCGCACTTTTTATCTGTTCCTTTTCTATTCTTACTGGTGTTTCATTTTCCTCTTGTTCAAACATTATTTGAATAACTGGCGAATGTTGTGATGTTGTTTCTAGCAAAGGTGCGACTTTCGGAGGAATACCTTTCTGTTTTTTGTCAGCTCTATTTTTGGTGCGCACATTTTTTTCAATGTTTTTGTTATTAACTTTTGTTGCGTCTGTTTTATTTGCCTTTTGGATGTTTTGTGTATTCACTTTTCCTTCATCTTTGCTACCGTCTTTTAACTTTTCATCTGGCTTTACGGACTTGTCAATTCCGTTTGATGACTTTAATACCTCCACGCTTTCTGAGCTACTGCAACTAGTTTTAAATTTTTCAGATTTTACTGTTCGAGACTTTGTTTTTTTGTCTTCCGTTTTATCTACTAAAGTGTTATTACTTTTTTCAACCGACGTTGAATAATTTTTCTTGTTTCCATCTTTATTAACTATCTTTTTGACCTCTTGCAAACCAGTTTTATTTTTGTTCATTTTTTCTTTCATTGATTTATCTAAACTATTTGGTAAGTGAGTGACGCTGGATGTTTCTGTAATATTCAAAGCATTTAGTGTGGAAGATGTGATACCTGACTTCTGTGGCACATCTGTTTTTAATTCGCTGTTTCTACTTCTTTCATCCGTGCTACTACTACTACTACTACTACTAATACTACTAATACTACTTGTCGATGATTCTTTAATGACTTGCGCCGTTTTTTCCACTACTTTTTCTGCTTTATTTTGTGATTGATTTTTATTAAATCTCTCAATTTTTTCAAGATTAAATGCATCTACTTTTTTTATTCTTGACTTAGAATACAACCTTTTATCCAAAATATGTCCAATAATTGTCTTCGCGTTTATACTATTGTTCGTGTTTTCATTAGATTTTGTTTTGTCAATTTGTGATGAAATTGTTGAACGATTAACAAAGTTTAATTTACTTGTATTTATCAAATTTATATCAATCGATTGAGTTTCAATATTCTCGTTTGTTTTCGTCGTATCTTTTTTATTATTTATCGCAATAAGAGATTTAATACTTATTACTTTTTTAAATTTAGAAAACATGTTTTTAAATTTTGAAATTGCAAAGAAATGTTTCTCTTCAATTTTGGCTTCACTCGTCAATGTTTTTCTGCCGAAATTAGAATATTTGTTAATACCACTTATATGAAATGTATTTTCGTAGATCTGTTCAATCATTTTTGGCCTCGACTCCTTTTTGCTACCACAAAGTGTAATTAAATCGTCACTTGAATTTTTTCCGTCTATTCTAATTGATTTTGTTTTTAAAGTGTCTAAACTCGATGTTCTTTTCAAATTAAAGTGACAGTTTAAACATTTTTTGTTTATCCTATCATATCCAGGAAGTATTTTTTTGAATGGTGTATTTGAATCTTGTTGTGTATATGGTTTGTGCGTTGTTGTGTGGTTGTTATCAAATAAATTTAGCGAATAGCGTTTGTTTTGTGCTTTGAATTTTTTATGAGATTTCGATTTTTTTACATTTTTTTGTTTGAAACAGTTATTTGAGTTATTTGTTGTAAGTTTCCTTTTATGTTTCTTTTTCTGGGTTTTTATGTAAGCATTTCGATTGCAACTGTCTTCTGTTACGTCAACTCTTTTTCTCTTTCCTCCTTTTTTTATCTGTCTAATAAAATGTTAACATTCATTTATTCACAGTTTAAAAAATTACTCTAACTTCTTATACAATCATAGTTATAACCTTGAAGACTCTGTGTGGATCACAATTCACTAGAAAGACGTTCTCACTCTCTATTGTGTTGTGACGAGTTGACTGCTGATCTCTGTTGATTGAAATATGTACGTGCTGGTTGGCGTTATTCGAAGAGTTATTTTTCCTTGTCTGCAATTTTGTTTCTCCGCCACTTATTAAAGCAGGTTTTTTACTTGCTTTTAAGCCAAGTATTGACAATTTTTGTTCATCGGTTATTTTACCTTCATTTTTTTCTATTTTTGATAATTTTTCTACATCATCGTTCATCGAATTAAAGTTTTTGTTTTCTTTTGAGTCTAATATTAAATAATTTTTATTTGACAATATTTTGTCTTTTTTAATAACTTTTTTGTTTGCAGATACTTTTGTGGCAATGTTCAATCCACGATTTTCGATATCATTTGCACCAGCTAATGAATTATTATTTTTATCCGATTTCTTGTTTTTATGTTTTTCCTTTTTCAGTTGTTTTGATTTTTCTGCTTTTACAGATTCGTCGGTAGAAGTTTCCATACTTTCTATTGCTTTGCTTATTATTGTTGAACAGTCGGAGAGACTTGATGCCAATTGTTTTTTCTGCAAGGTTTGGTTGTAATATGCTTTGACCAGCAAAGGAGCTTGTCTGTAAAATGAGGCTTGAGTTTGTTTCCCTCCGAGACTTTTTAGACGAATTTTATGTTTTTTAGAACCTAGTGTGAAACTTTCCTCGCGTCCGACTACTTTCAAAGTTTTCTTATCCTGTTTTAATCTTCTGATTCTACTAATTTCAGCTGAATCTTTAATTTTTTTTCCACTTTTCGGAAAAACGTACAACTCTGGTGAACTTAGGCTAGATTCTGTTGACAATTGACTTTTTAATTCATTTGTTTTATTGTTATTTGTGGCATGCGAAAATTTAGACCCTGTTTCTGGTCGGTTAGGTGCAGCTGAGCTTTCTTTTTTTGTATCCTCGCTATTCATTGTTCTAGAAAACTGTGACGGCGTTTTAGAATCATCTGAATCATTATTTTTCGTCACGGTAGAAGTCTTGGTATTGGTTGTCGATTTATTTGTATTTTCGTTTGAGAGAATGTCTGATTTATTGGTGGCAGTGGTGGTGCTAGTTTTATCGTTTGTTAAATCGGTATTTTCGGAGCTTGATACTAAAGTTTTTGTCATCGTGTTTGCTGTACTTGTTGCCGATGATTTTGTGTCGTTAATTGTCGTTGTTTTGTTACTCTGGGTTGACGGCAAAGATACTTTATAACCGGTTAAATTATCGGTTCTGTATTTTAGTTTTACTTGATCATACTTTGCGTTTTGTTGCGCGGAATTATTTTTCAAAATTTTTTCTATATTCGAATTGTTTTGTTTATTTTGTTTCTTTTTGACTTCTTCAGCGGTTAGAGTTCTTATTTTGCGCTTTGTACTTTCTTCCTGTTTTGGTTTCAATTGAATTTCTGCGGTTGAAACAAATTTGGCATCAGTTTCTCCAGAAATTAGAGCTTTTTGATTTTCTTTAGTTTGGTTATTTTTTGCCCTTGTAACCGCCACAATTGAAGTTGTTGATGTTCTTCGAACAAATCCATTTCCTTGCGTATGTGTAATTTGCCTGATTACAACAATTTTTCCATCTTTTCCATTGCCTCTCCTTTGATTTGATTGTGCCGCTGATTTTATATTTGTAACATCTTCCACTTTCTCAATTGCCATTTTGTCTTTTCTAGATGCATCTTGTTCTTTCTCTGATTTGTACTTAGTTGAAGCGTCTTTCATGGCAACATTTTGTTCTCTCTCTGACCTGTACTTTGTTGAAGCGTCTTTCATGGCAACATTTTGTTCTCTCTCTGACCTGTACTTAGTTGAAGCGTCTTTCATGGCAACATTTTGTTCTCTCTCTGACCTGTACTTTGTTGAAGCGTCTGCATATCCTGTTCTAGTTGTTGTATTGGTCTCAGCTGTCGACAGTAAGGTTCTAGAAGCCGAAGAATTTGCTGATGAACTCTGAGAAGAATAAATCGATGAACTGGCTTGTGCAGTAGAAAGTTGAGTTCTAGATGAACTACTTGTCATTTCGCTGGTCGAAACCATCTGGCCACTAGTACTCTGAGATGCTGAACTACTGGCATAACTTCTAGTTATATTAGTGGCTGTTGCTGACGTAGTGCCACTCTGTGATGCAGCTCCGCGTTTTGATGTATATGTAGCACCACTCTTGCTTGTAGTACCGCGTTCCGATGCATTACCGTATTGTGTTGCAGCACCGTATTCTGTAATAACACCACGTTCTGCTGCAACACCACGTTCTGTTGCGACACCACGTTCTGTTGCGACACCACGTTCGGTTGCGACACCACGTTCGGTTGCGACACCACGTTCGGTTGCGACACCACGTTCTGTTGCGACACCACGTTCTGTTGCGACACCACGTTCTGTTGCGACACCACGTTTATTTACGGCACCCCGTTTAGATGCAGCACCACGTTTAGATACAGTACCATGTTTTAAAGTGGCACCACCTTTTGATCTGTATGTAGCTCCAGATTTGTTCTGTGCTTTGTTATAAGTAGCCGTTCCATAACTTGTTGTGTTTGTTGAGGAAACTCTGTAGCCCGTCAAGCTGCTTGTTCTGTATGGAAGTCTCACTTGTTCGTACTTGGTTTTATTAGTTGAATTATTTTTTGAAATGTTTTTTTTATTTATTAATTTGTTAGAATTAGTTTGGCAAATTTTGCTCCAACTTTTTATTTTTCCACTCATTTGTTCATCAAACAGAGCTTTTAACTTTTTGTTTTGATGTTTATTTTTCTTTTTAATTTTCGCATCAATTGCCAAAGAAATTTCATCTTCATTGTTCATTAACCCATTATTCTTGTGTAAAAAGTTAAATTTATAATTTTTCATATCCGCTAAATGCAAAGTCTGTTTATTTTCTATGTGATTATACGTGTAATTATTGGTTGAAATATTTTTGACGAGTTCCTCGGGACTAAAAAATTCTTCCCTTGCGCAAGTTTGATAACGTTGTAAATTATCATCAAGTAATTTTTTTGTAATTGAGGTTTTTGAGTTTATTTTTGGAGCAAGGTTAACTACTTTTTTCGAGCCAGAGCCAACTAAGTTTTCTTTATTGGTATGTTTAATAGGTGATTTTTGTGCAACCACAGTTCTTTTTTTTTTTTCTTTTTTGTCTTCTGAGGCTTTTGAATTTGTCCATTTCTCATTTGTTTGTTTTCTTTTTCCAGTTTTGGACTTATGATCAATTTGATTTTGATGATTATAGCAAAGTCCTAACGTCTTGTCTGGTAATATTTCAATTCCTTGTGTAATTTCGCGATATAGTGTATGTTCAGTTCTTGTCTGACTACAACGTGCATAGATTTTAGATGGTTTAAATTCACTTTTATCCACAGAGTTTACACTCAAATTGTTTTGGTTATTATTATTAAATTCGATATTTTCCGTTATGCCGTACAGCTTATAGAACAATTTTTTCATCTTTATCTTTTTTTTATTGTTACTTAGAGATGGCGAGCGAGATATTTTTTCATAACTTTCTGATGGTACTGTAATGTAGCTTGTTGATGTGGATGAAGTTAAGGTTGAAGATAATGTCTCGCCAACATTTTTTATGGTTTTGAAATTTCCAGTGGCGTCAGTGCATGATAATTTTTTTCTTTCATCGGACAATTTTGCCTGTTCGAAGCCTTTTTGTACTGCATTGCTATTTTCATTTTTTTTCCTAGTAGACCTGTATTTCTTCGAATGTTTCTTCATATTTTCAAAATATTTGACTGGTAAATATTTGGCATCATATGCGATGAGTTTCATATCAATGTTATTGTTATTCAAGTTATTTTTTCCTGCTTTTTTTGAAACAACATTCTTTATTTTAACAATAGATGTTGAAGATTTCACTACTTTTGTGTTTTTGCCATCCTTAACTTTTTTCACCATTTTAGTTGTTTTGATTGATTTCTTACTAGAGGAAGTAGAAATGGTCGTTTTAGAAACAACCTTTTTAACACTACTAACTCGTTTTCCTTTTGAACTCACTCGTGATTTAGTCACGCTTGTTGTTGTTGTTGTCACCACTGTAGTGCTCTTACTAACTGATCTTTTCGGAGCAATATTTTTTGACGATCTCTTATCTGATTTTTTGGAACTTCGTTTAGATTTTTGCGATGATAATCTTGGCCTTTTTTTTAAGCTGCTCGATTTTTTAATTTTTTTCACAATAGTTTTTGATAAAGACTTTACAGCTGACTTTAATTTACTTGGGGATTTTGTTTTCTGGGTTTTAGATTCTTTACTGACCGCAGCTGGTTTTTTTGTCAACGATGTTTTGGAGACCTCGGTAGAATTAGTGCATTTAGTGTCTTCTGGCTTCTTTGTGGAGCTTTGACCAAGACGCTTGAAAACAATAGCCTTTTGTTTATTTTCAACTCGAGGTTTCAAATTAGAAACGTACGAGCTTTTAATGTGATGAATGCTATCTTTTTTTAGTTTCACAACTTTTATAACCTTCTTATTTGCTTCTGTGCTCTCTGGAACCGATAAAGAAATTCCCATTGAACTGCAATGCTTTCCGTCTCTTTTACAATGTTCCCTTTTAAATGTTTTTCCCTCTGGTCCGCTGGTTTTTTCCACTTTAGTTTTTGAAGAAGATTTAACAATATTTGTACTAATTTGCTTTGATGGAGTTTTTTTGGAATGTCTTTTCATCATTTTTGATATACTACCTGATGGTTTTTTGATCAGTTTTTGAGATGCCCTTTTGCTTGTAGGGCGTACATCTTTCGACGATCTTTTTTTTTTAATTTTTGAACTAATAATTTTTGAAATTTGTTTTTTAACCGGTTTAGGTGAATGTGTTTTTTTAATTTCTGTTGAAGTTGTGATTGTAGTTGAACTTTTTTCAATAACAGTTGTGGAACTAATGTTTCTAATGTTTTTAGAAGTAGTTATCGATTTTGAACTTTTCTTTTTAACAATTTTAGTTGTAGAAACAGGTTTGGTTTTGTCAACAAAAATTGACTTTTTTTTAGAAACACGTTTTTCTTCTTTTTTAGAAACTTCTTTACTTGGTTCAATTGTTGATGCTGTAATAGTTTGCTTTTTTATTGATTTAACTTCGCTAACCGTACTACCTTGCATTTTTCCATCTTTTTTCACATCGCTTTTTGGTAATTTAGATTCTGGTTTTTCAATCTTTTTTGTCTCTGGTACAACTTTTTTTGCATCTGGTTTTTCTTTGGAGCCTTTACGAAGGATATTTTTAAATTTTTCTACAACGCTTCTTCGCACCATTGTGTCCTTAGCAATGTCTTTTAAAGAACGTTTCTTTTTTACTACTTTTTCTTCTTTTCTTTCAGGTTTAGTTTCAAGAGTTTTTTCAATGGCTGTACTTTGAGTCATTGTCTTTTGGCTAAAATTTTGCAAATTAGCAGTCTTTTCCATTTTCATTTTATTGTCATCCTCTCTCTTCTTAGTTGTTGTATCAGGTAAAGTTCTTTTAATCTCTTCTTTAGTAATTGTCGTTTCTATTGTTTTTGTGGTAACGGGTTTTGTGTTTTCTTGTTTTGGAATTGGTTTTGATGGTTTTGAGTCCCGAACTTCTATTTTGGTGTCAGTGGGTTTATCTTTCTTGGGAATGACTGTTGTTGTAGTTGAAACTGTTGTTGTGGAAATATCAGGTTTTTTTAATTTTTCCTTTTTGTCGTCATGCGTTGTTTTAGTTGTTGTATCAGGTCCAGGTAAAGTTTTTTTAATTTCTTCTTTAGTGATTATTGTTTCTGTTGTTTTTGTCGTAACGGGTTTTGTGCTTTCTTGTTTTGGAGTTGGTTTGGATGGTTTTGAGTCCTGAATTTCTCTTTTAATGTCAGTAGGCTTCTCTTTCTTTGGAATGACTGTTGTTGTAGAAACATCGATTTTTTTAAGCATTTCTTTCGTGTCATCTTGCTTTGTTTCAGTTGCTATATCAGGTCCGTGTTTTGTATATTCTTTTTTTGCAGTTGGTTTAGATAGTTTTGAGTCCTTAATTTTATTTTTTGGAATGTCTGTTACCGTTGTTGAAACCGTAGTTGTAGAACTTTCTTTTGTTACAGTTGAAACTTTATATTCAAGTTGTGACGGTTTTTTTGTTTTTCCTGAACTGGTTTTAGATTTGTTTTTTGAAACAATATTTTGATTTTTGACTGAAGGCGAAGTTTTGGAAGTCTGAATTGATGGATAACTTTTAACAACTTTTGAAATTTTTTTTTTCGAAGTTTTGTGAACCGAGGATGGCTTTGAAGTTACTTTTTTAGCTGTTGATACTTTTGGACTCTGTTTTTTAGCAACTGTTGAAGAAGTTGAAAGCGGTATGCTTCTTTTCACAACTTTTGAAGCCCGAGGTGAACTTTTTTTTTTAGAAGTAATTGCTTTTGTTTTACTAGAAGCAGGCTCTACTTTTGTTTCGGATGTTACAGAAGTTGGGAATTTAGCTTTAGTATTTACCGATTCGCCAAGGTCCTTTTTAGCTTTAGGTTTTGTAATATCTTTAGATGGTGTAACTGTTACCGTGATTGAACTTTTTTGCATACTTTTAGTCGTGACCGACTGAGATGGAGTTTCCGTTTTTTTAGTTTCAACTTTCTTCAGTGAAGAGGTCTTCGGTTTTTTAGGAGTTGATTTTTCTTTTCCTTGTGACTTGGAAGATTTTTCGTGAATACTTATTACAGAACTAGATTTTATAATTTTTTTTCCATCTTTTTCAATTATTTTTGTTGAACTTGATTTTTTAACAACTTTTGTGGGCAAAACATCAGACTTTGAACCGGATAAAATATAATACTTTTTTGTAAAGTGTTTAGAAATTTTTCGCCGCAATTTATCTGCAGAACTTTTTATTTTGCTTAAACTTTTCATAAGTTTAGCGCGTCTTGATGGTTTTTTCCCGATGATTTTGGCTTGAGCTTCGGATTCCGAAGTTAAACTTTGCTTACCTTTTCCTATATTTGCGGATGATTTCGTTTTTGTTACTGATGTAGCTGAAGTTACAATCTTAACCTCCACGATTTTTTCTTTTTTTCCTCCTTTCTTGATTAATTTTGTTGTTGTTACGGTGGTCACAGACGTGGCACGAGTTACTTTGCCGGCTTTATTGGTTGTAATTGATGATTTAGATGTAGACATTTTCACCTTTTTGTACTGTTTTGATTTGCTTTCATTTTCAAACTCAGTTTTAGCTGCATTTACGTTTAAATTATTTTTAAATGGAATAGACTGCATTTTTGATGTTTGCGATAAATTAAGTTTAGTCTGTTTTGTATTGTTCAACAAGGTTAATTCAGGTAAATTTTTTCTAGACGGCCTGTCTTGAATTGCGTGATTCATGTTCAAATTTTTCTCTGAGCAAATTCTATAGACTAGATCATTAAATTTGTAAGATAATTTTTCTGATGGTTTTTTTAGTTCTTGATCGTAGAACCAAATATCTTGATTGTCCACCAGTAGTTCGGCTTCATTTAGATAGCAGAGATTTCCAATTGTTGAATCGAAACCATTAGAATTTGTGACATTACTAGGAAAAATAATTTCTTCCTGCGAGAAAACACTTTTGTATTTTTTAGCAGGACCTCTTGACATTTTGTCCATCTCAATGAAAGACCTTTTAAAATATTTTATAAAAATAAACTAGTGATTTGGAACAAAACTTAGTTCTAACTACGCTTGCAAAAAAGTTTATTGGCGTTCTATTATCAAAATTGGTTTGATTATTGAATAAATCAAATTCGATAAAAAAATTATAACGTTTTTAATTTCATAAATGACTTAATCGTGTTTTCTAACAATTTTTTTAGGTCCGATGCTGGCTTTTTTTTTCTTCTTTGAATGTTGTCAGTTATGTCTCGGTTTATATTCTTCCCTATCCAGCCTGTTATCATTAATTATTTCGCTAACATTTTTAACTTTTACCATAATTGGTCCGCAAAATATTATCTTAATTTGCTACCCATTTAAGATGGTAAACAGCCTTCTAGGCAATAAAGTCATCAAATTTGCTAAAATTTACACGATGTTAAAAGTTTAATACTCCAACTAATAAAATGTATTGCTATGGAGTGCGTAGATTTAATACGAATGATTTAATTACATAAGATAGCAAAGCATTCAACGGATGTATAGCATAATAAAAATTTGTAAATATGAGTGTGACGTTAAATTTTTGCATTGATATAAAAAATCACGAAAACAATCCATATTTACGCCATTAAAAATATTTCTGCCGTCTATTTAGAGAGAAAAAAAATCATTCGTATGTTTTTACGTGCTATTATCTATATCATTAATTCATTTATTTGTTTTTACAGCGCTTTTATAAAATTTGTTCATAAATTAAATAAATTAAATTCATAAATTAAAATTTAGAAAGCATGTCTGTCAAGTTTGATCTCATATTTCTCTAATTTTGAAACAACTACCCTGGTTGACTGTTAAAAAACATGTAATATTCAAACCATTTTTACTGATACATTATGATACATCAACTAACTACTTGGTGCTGAAATTTTTGACGTTTTGTTGGAATAGCGAATCTTTCAGGCAGTTCATTCGAAAATAGGAGCCAGAAATCTTTCCATTCTAATCTTTCGAGCTACCAATGCTATTGGTATTTACATTTTTTAATTTAAAAAATCTCAAAAGTTTATTTATTTTCATTTTAATAAAGTTTTTATTTGTTTTGATTGCTTCAATAAAATGTTTCCTTTGAATTATTCTTATCATTAGAATAACATTTTATCATTAAAATTGATGTCTATACACGAAAATGTATGAAAATTGAGAAAATATTATTGTTAAGTGGTTATACCTGGTTAGATTTTTATGTCGACTTTTAATTAATAAAACTATTGTTTAACATATATTTTATTGAAAGATATATATATTTTCCCTTGCACCATTTGAAAATATATTTCAACAAGAAAATCAACACAAAGAGGTGTTACAATTTGAAACAAAAATTTAACCCGTTTTATAAATACTACTAATAATAATAATGTCGATAAATTTTAATTAAAGATAGTATTTTGTGTTGTTATTCATTAGTTTTGTAACTCAGTTCTACGATGTTCTCCTGTTGAATGCAGTTTCAATGTTTCAGGCAATTTACGGTCACATGTTCACAGACTCTGCTGATATAGTCTATATATTTTTAGTTGATTAATAGTCAAACAATGAAAAAAATGGACATAAAATCTTTTAAAATATTTAGACATCTACAAATTTATATTAAAACGAATCAATTACGTTTTGCATTGTGGATCTTTTAAGCGGAGGTAGTTTATTTCTTTAAACTCAGGTAAACTTTCCGTTTTCTCATAGTTATTTACCTTAATTTAATATTTTAAATCAGAGTATGTAAAAGAGGCACAAAATATAAGCTATATTTTCAATGAAATACATATACATGCATAAAGAATTGAATAAGCAGATACAATTTTGTAGATACAAAATTCGCAGAGACTAACTATCGTTCGCGATGGATTGAGGAGACTTTCGAACGAGTCAATCCTGCAAATGTAGCGATTTCATCTAATTAAAAAATTAAAAATAATGACATTCATTCGACAGAACCTGTAATGGTAAATTGAACTTTGAAAAAATGCGGTGTCGGGAGAGAACGAGAGTTTCAGAGGACTGGTTGCCGAGGAGTTGGATTGCGAAACATTCCCAACGGGTCGATGGTTTAGAAGATTTGAACGGTTGGAAGACCTACTGCTGGTTTTGTAATAACCGCAAACCGTCGAGTTTAATTTGTTTTTTAATATGCCGCCTTTCTTTTTTTTTATAGGTGGTTGAATAATTTTCGATCGATGCAAATCTTCATTGTAAGCCTTGCTCACAAAATTATCGCAGTCTTGCGGTTTTTGATATGATTCATCTTTTGGCATATCTAATTTTGTTCTTGATTTTTTGAACAAGCCAGTGTTGTCATATTCTGTAATGATGTTTTTTAAAATACTCTTATCTTTCCAACTAGTATTTAACGTTGAATTTTTATATTTAGCAAAGTCTTTTTTTTTCTCAGTTTTCAAAGCGGATTTTAATATTACTGAGGTATTGAGAGGAGAAAAGTTGGTTCCGCTGTTTGAACTTTTGTTTCTTAAAAATTCGTTGAAGTTCAATCTGGTGTTGCAACTGTTATTTTCCGATGAATATGGTGTTAATCTACGCTTGGAAGAAAAATTTGATTGTTGAGCTCCGCTGGACATAAAACTTTGTTTATTGGGGTATTTGAGACTCACGTCCGTTAGAGAAATCTCTTTTTCGAGATTTGAAGAAATCTTATTTTGTGATGACAGGTTACTAGGCGAGAGTGACGATTTAAGGCTTTTAGTCGAATTGTGTTTAGGAGGAATGTTTGTTGGGGATATCGAATTATGTATACGCCTTGAGAGATTTATTTTTGCCGTTATATCTGATGGAACTTGGGATCGCTGCATCGGTTCAACTTCTTTTTTTATCGATGTTATATCTATTGGAGAATAGGGAACTCTATTTTTGGGCGGTGGAGGTCTTTTCAGTTTTTTCAACATTTCTGAAGGCGTCATTGATTGCTTATCAGTAGCCACCAGGTTCTTTTGATATCTAATGAAGCTGGGCGAGTGATGGAAGGACTGCTGTTCTAGAATGCATCGACATTCTTGCTCGGCTGTACACCCTATTGCGTTGTTTCTATACTCGGAAGAAATTATAAATTTTTTTTTATGTTTTGTGCTTTTTTGAACCTCAATTTTTTTTACTGCCGGATCACAATACATGCATTTTCCAGTTTCTTTGTTTTTCAAGTTAATATCGCATAACGATTCGTCGCACATAATACATTTGCGAGGAACGTTCTCGACCTCTTTACTGAAATCACGTGATTCTGAAGAACATTTTGCATCAATTAATTCCTGGGTTATATCTGTCAGCATAATTTGATGATAGCTTTCCTCGTTTCCAAACTTTTCGCCATAATGCCGCATTTTTTTGCTGCTTTTTGGTGTTACATCGATAACGTTTGAGTGAGATGTTTCATCCATAGTTTTTGCACTTAATGTTTTAACGTCAGATTTTTCAGGTTTGTTTGATTGTTGAATTGACGAGCCTACATCTTCCTTGACTTTATTTGTTTTACTTGGTGTTGGTTTTTTGGCCGGTTCGGTAGGATTTTTAAGAACGGCGGAAGTTTTTGTCGAGTCCGATTTAGTTGCATTGACTGGTTTGGTGGGAATCTTAGGAACGGTGGAACTTTTTAGATTATTTGGAATATTAGTTGATTCCGTAGAAATTTTAGAAACTGGAGTATTCTTTGGTACAAGAGAATTTTTCGATGGCAAATTTTGAGTTGATGAGCTTAAAACCTTGTTGCTAGGTTGTGGTTCGTCAGATGTTGGCACTTTGATTGAAACAGTAGATGTCATAGACGCGGTAGAGTTTTCTGAAGCCTTTGCCGGCAAATCTTCAATTGATGTGCTTATAACCTTACCGCTCGGATGGGAATATTTTAAAACCAATGCTTTATCCGATGATGGTATCCTGATTGAAATGGTAGATGTCTTAGATGCATTGGTATGCTTAGCTGGAATTTTAGAACTTTGAGATAATGCTAATGTGCTCGAACTCTTATTGGCTTTGTTCTGAGTTGCAGATAATTTAGATTTATTTGAATATTTTCTACTTAGTCTTGATGCAATAGATTGTCTTGATTTTGACAATCTTTCTCTTAAATTTGACATTTTTTTTCGAAGTCTTGCCATCCTACTCTCCGATTTTGAACTCTTTGAAATGTTCGAGTCCGTTTTTTTTAAGGACATTGGAGTCGTTTCTCTGCCTGAAACGCTCCTTTCACTTTTTGACCTGGGAACCTTGGATATCAACACTTTGGATAGTGCTTGAAGTACTTTACTAGCACGATCGGATAATCGACTCCTTGCCGAAGTAGCAGACTTTGAAGGCTTTGCATCAACTTGAACGCTTGCGGCGGATATTTTCTTTGCAGTCAGGGCCCTTTCAACATCGTTATTTTTATTTTTATTTTTTATTTTATGCCTATTCATTGTCTTTAATCTGTGGGATTTTTTTTTCTCCTTGCAATGTGTGTCGTGATTGCTATTGATATTAACATTACGTTCGGCGTCCATAAGCACATCCCTGTTGATCTTGTCAGTAATAACAGGACGCATTGAAGCACATAAGATTAAATAATAATAAATTCGGTTAAAAACAAATGAAACTCTCGATGTTGTATTTATTTAAGAATTTTCATTGTTTTGAACAGTGACGTCATTTAACAACAGTTTTTAAATTATACACCCCATGTTCTTTTATAAAAATATTCAACCATTTTAACTGCTTATTATGGTACCATTTTTACTGTTTATTATGGATCGTTCCATACCTGTATGTATCTATGTGCGTTTGTCTGCGCGTGCCTTCTACATATAGGAATTGAGTAAATGTTATAAAATGTTTGTCTGTGTAAATGTTTGTCATGTTCAAACGTACGCAAATGCCAATTAAAAAATAATATGCATTTATTTTACTCAATTATTTAGATTTTGTTTGATATAGTGCGAAAAATTAATGTTTAAATTGATTTTAAGTTAAATTCGATGAAAAGATTTCAAGTATTCAAATCTATTCAAAGTTTTTGAGAGAGCAATTCCTGGAATGTGCCTATTTTTTCTTTCAGTACCTGAATGTCTTTTGAATCATCCCCCGTTAATTTTGATCCGCCTTGTGCTTCCTTCCCGCCAACTGGTTTGTTGAATTCGCCAAGAGCTTTTTCGCGGTTTTTCCTTCGTATTTCCAGGCGTTTTCTGGCTTGTCGAGTTTCTGAACTTGTCACTGATCCTCTTTCATCCAATTTTTTGATTTTCTTGTATAGGGCTACGTAAAAAAATTAATTAAAAAAATTGCATCAGTGTTGTTATACAAATTTAAAGATGCATTTTCTAAACAATTACAACATTGTGGACAAACATGGAGTGACAATACATGATGGTTACTGTTTTGAACGCTGAAAATTAATCATGTCACTGACCTGTAAGTAACCGATCCAACGACTGGAATTGCTTGAAACATTCAATGTCAGAACATTTTCTTCGAAGCTAGAGAGTGTAAGTTTTCTTGAAAGAAATTTTCAATGAACTTATCATTTTAAAATAACATACTCGCTTTAGCCGTTTTTTTTCGTTTATAATCAGCAGAGGTGTGATATCGGGTCCAGCGTGCATTCCTTTTTTGGCCGTCCAATTTTCGACATTTTCTAAGGTGCTTAAAATGGAAGAAATTTAGTTTATTTATACCGAATTTCAAATCATCTGAAACTTACCTGAAACTGTCATCAAATATTGGTTTCTTCTTTCTACGTTTCCTTTTCTTACTAACTGTCGAACTTGAACTGAAGTGCGTGTGTCGATGCCTGTGTTTGTGTCTTTGCTTATTCATAAACGGCTGCATGTATGGCGGATATCCGTAACGCCGACAGTTGTGAAAAGAATGACTGAACGTAGACGCTGATGTCGGCGAAGAAGACGACGAGCAGTCCAAAAAATATGGCACAAATTCATCAGGTGGAAACTGGCTAGGCATATTTGGCCAACCGTCTGAAAGCCAATGGTTAACGTACGCACCTTTATCCATGGCATAATTTGGCATAGGGAAAGGAGCCATAGGTAGGTTGGCTCCAAAAAGAGTTTCAGGCATAAAGTATGTTATATAATGTGCCGGCTTCCATTGTTCACTGAAATAATTTAAAAGTTGACTTTTTGTCAGCTGTAGCTTTTTTATTAACTCTCTGTTTCTTCCGTTTCGACATAGAGTTTTATTTTCAATTTGATGATTCTGAAGAAGTTTAGTTTGATTTCCATCTTTATAGGTCGTTGTTTCATTAAAATTGGAGCAAGTGACTGCGTTGTTTAACTTTTTAAATATTTTGTTCTGATTATTTAATTTAACATCTACTGCTGAACTCTGCCTTGTTTCACACGGATTCTTAAACTTTTTCATTTGTGTTTTTGAAAATTTTAGATGTCAACCAAATGTTTGTTTAGATTCGGAATGTTCGTGTAGAATCTGAACGTGTAGCTTTTAAAGTTTGGTGTTTAAATGGCTTGTAAATAACGTGACGTGTTTTTTATTGAGTGATTTTTTTTCACGCTTGAATAAAAAAAATTTATTTTTTAACATGTGTTTCAATTTTTTCAGGTAGGTGTCGATCTTGTTGCGGTTGCACTTATGTAAAAGAACACCAAACCAGAAAGGGCAGTGAACGGGAGAAGAAAAGAATAGTATTCGTTTGGATAGGCTGGACACATGTTTCGTCCCTACCGGGTACTCATCAGCAGCCCGAATACCTATCAAAATATTTATCCCAGTTTCTTATATAGCCCGCAAAATTACCTCGTTAGCTCTTGGTGTTTTATTTATTGTTGAAGATTGTTAGTTTTTTAGTTGTTAGGATTTCAATCCGACAATCTCACAAATAAAATGAAAAGGGTTGGTAAAAGTTTTATAAATGGGCATCTTAGATTACTTTCACCCATACGTACAATTTTAGCAATGAGATGGTATTACGTGAGACACCAACACACGCGCCTACACTATTCACACACACACACACATACCTCCCCACACACACACCCACACACAAACCCCCTCCCACACACACACACACACACACTCACACACACACACTCACACACAAACAAA